CCCCAAAACCCCAAAACCCCACCTAAGTTTATAAAATTATTATTAAACTAATTCATTGCTTTTGTGATTTATAATTGAATAAATAATATATAATAAAATGGAATAATAGAAGGTATAATGGAACCCTCGGGAAAGGAAAGAGGCTTACACACTTTTTATTCATTTTACTAGCTAAGACTAAGCATAAATAGATGAGCATCTGAGCTAGCTAAACACTTTGGATTTATTGAATAAAGGAATTAAGGGTGGCAATACCAATTTGCTAGTTCTAAGAAAGGATATTACTTGTCAAGAGTAGAGTTAGTAATAGATTTAGCTGTTTAATGCTTTAACTTGTTTGTCACAATTAGAGGGAGGTTTAATGAAAGGTTAAAATGAACACGAATAGACAGTTATTGAGAAGAATTTCTTCAAAGTTTAGGTTTAGGATAATAAGCATGCAAATCTATTTCATTATGGGGGTTTAAATGTAAAGGTAATCTCTAATTCACAAAATATCCTTGATTAAGCCGAAAAATACAGTATATCTAATGTACTTTTTAATCAGCAAGACATAAATCAACAAATGGTTACAGATGGTGACAATCAAATTCACTTAAAGCTAGCATATTTAGTAGACCCTTCATAAAGTGATATCTAATCAATTTTGACTTTCATTGACAATAAAGAATAATCTGAACCAATTTTTAGATATATTGGGATATACCCCCAATCCATTCAGTAAAATCATTTAAAACCAAAGAAGTATGATATTTTAGAAGGAATCGCAGCACCATAGTCATATGTGAGAGTAGGAAGTATGATTTTGAATGAGGAGTCAGATATTGATTATGAAAAGGCTGTACTCATTACTGAAATTGATGAAGACTATCAAAGAAGGGATAAGTTTGAAAATTTGGAGTAAATTCAAAGTGAACTAAAGACAGAGTTAGGTAATCCATTCTTCTAGAAATATCAGCTGGCTGATACTTTTATGAGAAATATAGCATTCAAATTAGGGAAATTAGAGAAATTCGGAGCTTGAAAAGCTATCTTTTAACTAATCATAAATAAGATAATATTTATTACGTTTAAGCAATATCAATATCTAATTTAAACTGTCTTATGGGGTTTTGGGGTTTTGGGGAGATCGGAA